TTTGGTCAGCCTGCCTGGAAACTCTCCCAAGTTTGAGATTACCAGGTAATGCACTGAACTCTGGGATAATGGTTCCAGGCACTTGAGAGCAGACACAAGACAAGCAGCAAAATTGTCCCATCAGCAGACACGGAACTTAATTGTAGAGTCAACTTTTTAAGATTGTTATTTCCTCGGCACAGCTGGCTTGTGGGCTGTACAGTCACAGATCCATGCTTGGCTGGGTGATCCAGCACAAATGACCCCATTTTCCCAGGAATGCAGAGGGAGTTTGCTGTAAGCATGGCTCCATTGGCCAGAACAGAAATCAGGCATGTAAATCCCTTTCTTTTAGCCTCAAACTGGTCAAAGGGAAAATTAAATACCCAGCCTTTCTAGCCTTTGTAGGGGAAAGAACTGAATGAAGCAGGGACAAGCAGCAAGTAATAATCTCTGCCACCTCCCCACCCAATTTATTTTGAAGTGCTATTTTTGTTTAGCCTCAGACATTTGAAACACTTTGCCTAGAGCACAAACTATCACATTTCCCAGCTCTATGAGTAACCTGCACAGAGTTCTGCTAAACACTTAATAAAAATACTGTTTTGTGAAATTCAACACATGGGATTTTAGCATTTTTGTTTAACCTTCTTACCTGACAGGCACTGCAGCTCGTGAGAGTGTGACAGCCTGAGTAACTTCACATCAGGACACCAGTACATTGTATTTTGGTATGCATCGATGGATGGATCAAGGTGCTTCTCAGGACTCTGGTGCCCTGGGAAAACAGTGAAATGATTATTGCATTTAGTGCCAGGTAAGTAAAACCTTAATTTGATGTATGCGGTGTGTCCCAGCTCACAACCAGCTTGCCAAAATGCAGTGTGTGACTCTTACTTCCATCCCTGCAGTGACCCCCAACCAATGCCCCACAATCCCAGCCTCCCTGCACAAGGATTGTTCTCCATCCTCTTGGAAGAGCACCTGAATTAACAGATTAAATACAGCTCTGGGGCTCCACGATCTGCAGTTTAGTCCTGACACTATCAGGTGCCTGATGGATGACCACGCCTCACCCTCAGAGTGCCATCGCTTTCCCAGGTCAGAAACATGGATAAACACAAACATATCCCTATGAAGCTGACACAGGAGAAGCACGATACAAACCTGAGGCATTGCTGAAGGCCATCAGCAGTTGTTGGAACAAAAGGTTTTGGATTAAATACCTGTTGGTGGTGGGGAGAGCTGTGCTGGGTGCCCAGCAGTGGCAGGAGGGTCTCTGAGGGGGAGGCATGGCCACCTCAGGCTGGGCACGGCCAGTTCTGGATGGCTCCAGCTGCCCCAGCACAGGGCACGGCTGAGCCCCTCAGCAATGCCAGGGCATGGTGGGGAAAGGGGGTGTGGGAGTGAGCAGGGGGTGAGGTAAATAAAAATTAGATTGCCAGGGGCAGCCCCACGAGCCCTGGGGCTGGGGATCCGCGGGTGTCCCCTGACGCAGAGCTTGGGTAAAGGGGGTGGATGGGGCTTCTCACCATCCAACTCTGTGTTAGTAAGCAATAAATTGATTTTCCTGTTTTGCCCACGATGGTAATTGGTAAGTGATCTCCCTGCCGTCACCCACGTGCTTTTCCACCCTGTTTTCTGTCCTGTTGTGGAGAAGGAGTGGGGAGTGGCTGGGTGGGTGCTGACAGCCGGCCATGGTCAGCCCCAGGACTGCAAACAGCAACTCCCAAACCCAGGGGCCCCAATCCTCATCAGAACAGGCATGTACCTGCTCTTCTCCACGGTCCCAGTCCTGTAGAAAGAAACCAAAGAACAGGATTTGTTAACAAACTAAAGCTTGCATGTATATATTGCAAAATATGCCTGGTTCAGCCTGGCCACGTTAGTTTTACTGTCAGCTATCTCAGAACAGATGTTAAAATAGTACATTTTTCATCAATACATTTTTCATCATCATGCATTAAAAAAAGAATCCCACATTGGCATTATTAACTGTTCTTAATTCCTCAAATCTCAGCACCTGCAGTTCCTATTGAGGATTCAGCCAAGCAGAACTCCTGTCTGATATCAAACAACAGTGTGTTTCCCAGTAGGAAAAAAATGCCTAATTGGTTTTCTTTGTTTTTTTCCACGGCTGATTAGTCCAACATACATAGAGGGAAGCTGCCCCCCCGGGATGCCTCAACACAAACAGCCATCAATGAATTAACTAAAATCAAAACCTCCCTTTAACTTGTTAAAAGTCATATTTGCAGCAGAGGTGTATTTATCTTGGTGTATCACTAAGAGTGACAGCAATTGAACAAAACAGGAGGTGGGAATAGACAGCTCTCCATAACATCCAGCTGAAAAACAAAATTGCTGCCAAATCTAGTGCAACTAGATTAGCTCAGCCCTCTAGGTAGGCTTTCAGCAACCTCCAGCATCACCACATGCTTTAGGAAAATAAATTATATCCTGCACAGCTGTCCCAGGTTCCTTTCTGCAGGCAGCACTAGTGAGACAGAAAAACTCCTCAAGAGCCTGAGCCAGGCAGCAGAGCAGCAGCAGTGGATGGACACACATGAAAGCAAAGGACACTCTTGGCCTTTTTTATCCCTTTCCAGAGTTACAGTGCTCCTCTGTGCAGTGGAGCAGGAATGATGCCAGGCAAGCACGTTGTTGCCTCTTGTCTTCTCCCAGCCTGGCAGCCTTGTGCCTGTTTGGCACCTTGCAGAGGGGTGATGTTATCAAAGCTGCTGATCCTGTGCCCACGGCAACAGAAGAAGCAGTGACCTCCTCACCCCGGGTCTCTGATCACAACAGGCTTACAGCTGAGACTGACTAAAGCAGCTTTTCAACACCATGTAGTTCATTAGAAGAATGTCAAGGCTTAGAAGAAAAATCAGTATTATGAGACATCTACAAGCTACAAAAAACCCAGGTGTTTTCAGGAGTAGATAGGCTCTTGCCTGAGCAGTAAAATTTTTGCCAAAGACACTAAAATAGCCCCAGTTAAATCAGATGTCTTTAGGATGCCACTGCCAAGTCCTCGTAAGTAACAGCAAAGAATTTCACGACTTGGTGCAATGTAACCATTTAAGGGCAACTCTGTCCATCTTGTACAGTACAAGTACAGTTCATTCCCTTTCATGGCTCTCGAACATCTGAACTATTCCTGTTTCAGGAAAACAAAGAACATTTTACATCACAATACTAGGAAATGCAACTGAAAATTGCATTTTTAAAGGGACACGTGTCCTCCCTTGTTAGGATTCTGCAGAAATTCTTGTAAGACTCATGTGCAGTCTTGCTGGTGACAACAGCATGAACTCAAGGAAGCCTTTAGCACAGCACTAATCCATTCCCAACTGAACTGTTTTAGGATATGGCACCATTACATTTCTTATTTTGACAAGAAATTAATGAAAAAGTAATTTGTTTCAATTTTTTTTTAAGTTCTGAAAACCAAATGGCAACAATCAGTATGACAAAGCCCAGAACATTTTAAATTACAACATTATTGCTAAATACTTCAAACAGAAGTGTAAATTTGGTACAGCTGTATGCTAATGGGGTTGTATTGCTCAAAAAGACATCTGAGAGACCTCAAGTTCATCTTGAACTTTTAAGCTGTCAGTTCACTGTGCCTTATGGAGGAATTCCACTGAAATCCACATGGATGAACAGAGTCCCAGGGGATTAGAAACAAGTCAACAATATCTAAACTCTTTGGTAAACCAGGCATTTATCAGCAGTAAACAGTTAGTGGTTTTATTTAAAGTTCTACCCTAATGCCAAGGCAGAAGCAGCTAATTTAAGATACGTTAGAAAAAAACCATCAAGTCCAATTAAAATTTATCTCCTCTTACTGTGTACAAAGGAAAGTAATAAGGATTGGAAATATGCCAAGCTGAAATCTCCCTAGTTTGGAGACTGTATTTGTCTTTCCAGAAAGTGTTTTCACAGGTTTATCTGCTGGAAAAATGAATTATTTCTAGGAGAATCACAACTAACAGTGTCATCCTCCCCCACCACTCCCCACCCCCCCTTTTTTTTAAATGCATTTTTCATAGTTAACTTAGATGTCAGAAGAACATAGCTCAAAAATAAAGTGTGGGTTTATTTTTTCCCCTCTAATTTTAGTATTTAAAAGGTCTCTCATGTGCTTTCTGTCTTAAGTTCAATGTGAATTCAACATGAAGCCTTTGTTTTTTGGTCTTTTTAGCCGAGTTGCCACTACTCAAAACATCCAGGAGTTTATCTACTAAAAGTACTATCAGCTCAGAGGAGTACTAGTAAATTCAAGCGTTATCAGTGAGAAGAGAGAATGTGTAGCCAAAGATGTTTTAGGTTATGGCTATGCTAAAACTCAGTCAGAACTGCTGAGTTCTGACTGCTGAAATTGCTCCTGAAATAAAGATTTAGTTATATACTTCATTGTGTCTACACAGTGCCATACACTCTAAATCCTAAATTTACTTCATGATTTGAGAAAAAAACTGATTCAATTAAAAAAAATTATTCCCCACTTTTCAACATTGAAGTCCTAAGTAAAACGGCAAAACTTTTAAGTCTCTCTCACATGGCAAGCAATCTATTAGCATATAAGTATTCCCAGTTAGTTTTCCATGAATTCCAGTTTCATTAACTTACTTAAAGAATGTGCCAATAGCAGAATAAATATTGTGACCCTCTGTGAGCAGAAAACCCACTAAACTGTGACAACAAAACAAGAAGAATACCCCTAGTTTTTCCACTGAAAAAGCAGCAAGCTGGAACACTCTACTACGGATCAAAAAAGCACTTGGGCTACAACTGCAAAACTTATTAACTCTGGAAAAGAAAGATGACAGTGAATCAAAGAGTGAAGTGGAAATTCTTGAATTTCAACTCTGGCATTGCCTTACAAGCTGATTTATTTTAAGAATTCACAATCAGAATCTGTATATTTTTAAAGACACATCTCTAAGTCTTTTAAGATTAACCATAATAAATCCACTGATGTTTATGAATTGAACAAAAGACACAGCACAATGTAGGTTTGAACTGTTTATTTCACATCACATGTCCCATACCGAAGTTTCTTCAGTTAGAAGTTCCTAGAAGAAAATGAAATAAACATTGTTGTTACAAACCAATTTGCTTCAACAGCTCCAAGTAAATATTTTTGAGCAACTGTGTAATCTTCCTATAAATACAACGTACACACTGTCATCCTAAAAGCTGGATTTGGGTACGGAAGTTACCCCTGCAAGAGTTAGAGGATAAGATAAACATACATACTTGGAAACAATTCCATCATTTTTTGCCAGGCGCAGAATGGAGTCGTCTGATTCACCCTTTAAGAAACAAAATAAAAATATTCTGAAGTGTCCAAATAATTGCTGACACACACTGAAAAGAGAGGCAGCTGCAGCAGTTAATGCTGGCAGGGAAATGCACAATGCCTTCCACAGATCCTTACATTTTATAGACAGATTAGCGTTTTCAAAATAAACTGTTAATTCTTTGTCATCCTTAAGGATAAGAAACAGTTTTAACTTGATAAAATACACATTTGCATTTACAAGATATACTTTTGGGTAAGTGGACTTGTGATGAACTCTAAGAAGCTTCACACCACGTTTAACAACTTGAAGTCATTGTAGTATCCTCTCAAATAATTGTAAACAACAGATAAAAGCCAGATATTCAGTGTCTTGGTACATTCTCAAAACAAATCACTTTCATCCTTCAGTGATTTAAAAAAATAAACATACATAATTCTACAAACCAAAGTATTAAGAAAACAAACAAACAAGAACCCAGAAGAAACTGATTATTCCAACTTAAACTGAGGCACTGGCACAGGTTGCCCAAAGAAGCTGTGGCTGCCCCATCCCTGGAAGTGTTCAAGGCCAGGTTGGATGGAGCCCTGAGCATCCTGGTCTAGTGGAAGGGGTTCAAACTGAATGATCTTTAAAGTCCCTTCCAACCCCCAACCGTTCTGGGATTCTATAAATTTGTTCACACTTCCCTCTTGTCTTCTGTTACCCCCACAAAAGTTCTTGCTTGAGAATGAGCTAAAGGCACATTGTGTTTTCAGGGCCAAATATACATCTCATTATTACTAATCAACATGTAAGGAAGCAGAATGATTTTGTAGGTGAGGAAAGCACTCACCATCCTCCGGATTGGGCCGCAAATGGCGTAAGTCTTGAACTGGCCGTTCACTCTGCCTGTCACCTTGTCAACCTGTAATTACAGCCAAGTTACTGCACACAGATTCTTATAAGGTTTTATGCTCCTCCATCACACTTGCAAAGTTAAAAACTGCAGAAAAACACTTGCAGTGTTGAGCAAGTAAACTACAGAAACTCCGGGCAAATACTGAAGTTGGAAGGTCAACTACAGATGATCTTTGCACAGCAAATTTATAGTTAATTCCATAGTGCAGATATAAAATTTATTGGATCACACAGAGTAACAAGAAGTGGTAGCTAAAAGAAAAAAAATTGAGTTCTGTACAAAGTTCAGTGTAAAGTCTGCTTGTGGATTTTTCCTACTTTTACAATTTTTTTTCATGTTTCTTTTAACTAAGGTCAGTACCCTGGAAAACTGAACTGAAGGGTGGAAGGGGACAGACTTGTTACATAGTTAGGAAAATGCCCAAGTTGAGAGACATAAATTGTCTCACTTTCTCCAGCTGCTGAGAAATTTAACAGGAAAAAAGACTAAACAATATAAATCATGAAATTAAACAGTGTGGTGAACCCTATAATTCCAGGTGGATTTGTTTCCACATTCTGCTCATCTCTGATCCTTTGAAAACAAGAAATAGGGATCACTGAAGGAATGAAACATGGTGAACAAGGAAAGTATTTGCCTTAACATTTACAGGAAATCACAAACAGAGCACTTTTTAAAGTCAGCTAACACAAGAGACTCAGATGTTTTAAAAAAATGGGAACGTGGCCTTGTGGTCTCCTATTCAAGAACTAAATCAAGCTCTACAGCTCATAAGCTACAGGAACACTCTGTCTACAGAAATTCTGAAAGGTGAAAAGCAACAAACAAATGGGAAAAAAAAACCCAAATCATGCTAAAAGGAGCTTAAATTAACCAGGGCCCACGTGCATTAACTGGGAACCTGCAGGAGTCAAGGTCTACTGTGGCTTTCTTTAGTGAATTATTTGAGATGCATCACATGCTGTTTTATTTCTCAACTTCTATCAGAAGTTTAAAGGTGTAGCTCTCTCATCACATGTTAAGAAACTTACCTCAGAAATATTTATCTGAATGGAAGCATGATCCTTGGCACCAATGATTCGGTTGCTAGCAGAGCTAAGGAATAAAACAAGATATATTTAAAAAAAAAGAAAACAGACCGTAACAATGACAAAAAAAGCTACTAAAGCCAAGGCTACAGGCAAATTAAAACTACTCAAGAAATGTAGGCAGTAACAGTTTACGCTGTTTTAAGTACATTTAAAGGAAACTTTCACTTGGTGGCATCATGCAGGTCTTGAAAACACAGACTATTATTTTTTTTTCTAAAATGCAAAAGATGCAGCAATCAAGGTAATTCAAAAGACTGTAGTTTCTATGCCTTTTTCATTGGAAGCCATTACAGCTGTCAAAGACACTCAAGTTGCAAATCCTCAGAAATCCCAGATAGTAAATAATATTTGACTTAACGTAATAAAGTGCACAGAAATGGTTTATTTGTAATATTTTTTTAACATACGCACACTTTTAGAAGTTTCCTACTGACCATTTACTACAATACCAAAATTATAGTTATGATGTGCTATTAGGATATGTGATTATTTAACAGGTTCACTACCACAGCTTGCAACAGTCACAGAAACGCTTGTGTGCTACAAACACACAGTTATACTTCTGATGTGAAACATTTTAGGAAGAAATTCTTCCCTGTGAGGGTGGTGAGGCCCTGGCACAGGTTGCCCAGAGAAGCTGTGGCTGCCCATGCCTGGAAGTGTTCAAGGCCAGGTTGGACAGGGCTTGGAGCAACCTGGGCTAGTGGAAGGTGTTGCTGCAGGGGGTTGGAATGAGATGAGCTTTAAGGTCCCTTCCAGCCCAAATTGTTCTGTGATTCCATTGTTGTCACCCTAATTACAGCTGGCAGTTTTGGAACAGGAGACGCAGAGCGTTCTCAACTTTAGTCTTTGCTTCACGTATTTTACATAAGGTACTTAAAAATACAGAAACTGACAGTAAACATTCCCCACCACCCCCGATACTCGCTGCTACAAGAAGCCTCTTTGCAGAGGCTGCAGCCGCCTCGGGTCCATTCCCAGCCCCGGCCCCTCGCGGGCCCCGCTCACCATTTCCGAGGAACATAAAGGTCCACGAACTCCCCGGCGTCGTTCTGCATCTCGTCGGGATCCCCGCTGAGGCACTAAGCAGCAATACCTGAAAAAATCATGGAATATCCTGAGCTGGAAGGGACACACAAGGACCACCCAGTCCAACCCCTGGCCCTGCACAGACACTCCAACACTCCCACCATGTGCCCGACAGCGAAACGCTCCCTGAGCTCTGTCAACCTTGGTGCTGTGCCCACTGCCCTGGGGAGCCTGGTCAGTGCCCGACCACCCTCTGGGGGAAGGACCTTTTCCCGAAACCCAACCTAACCCGCCCCCGACACAGCTCCAGCCGCTCCCTCGGGTGCTGTCGCTGGTCACAGAGAGCGGGGCTGCCCCTCCCGGGGAAGCGGTGAGGTGGTGCCGGAGCCCGGCTGAGCTCCCGGGCCGCGCCCCGGAGCCCGCACACCGCGGGCAGAACCCCCTCAAAGCCCCCTCAGAGCCCCTGGGAGCCCCCGGTCCCGGAGCGGCGCCGCCATCGCTCCCACCTCGCGCGCGGCAGGGGCGGAAAGGGACGGGCGGGGCCGGACACGGAAACACGCGCGAGGCACCGGGAGCGCTTCCGGTCCGCCCCTGGCGTCACCGGGATCGGGGAGCGGGCACCCGTCCCCGCAGGGATGGGCTGACCCACCACCGCCCCCGGCACCGCTCGGGCTGTGTCCCCCCGGCTGGGGATCACGGAATGGGTATCCGTCCTCTCAGGGATGTGTGTGGGGGGGGTGTGTCCCCCACCCATCGCCCCCGGGACCGCTCGGGCTGTGTCCCCCCGGCTGGGGATCAGGGAGCGGGGGGGTCTCTGTCCCGTTCCCCCTCCCCGGGGTCACAGCGCCGCTTACCTGCGGGGACTGTCAGGAGACGTTCCGAACCCACGTGGGTGCGTTGCTGGGGCACCCGCGCCAGGGGACCCTGCCTTGGCTCGGGGTGATCCTCAGAGGTCCCTTCCAGCCCGAACTATTCTGTAATCCCGTGGCCAGACCACCCCCGGGCCCCCTCATGGAAGACCCTCATCCCGAGCTTCCAGAGAGGGTCCAGCGGGCGCCACAGTGATGATCTCTCTTAGGAGAGGCTGCAGGAGCTGGGCCTGCTTAGTCTGGAGAAGATGGAGAGGGGATCTCATTAGTGCATATAAATATCTCCAAGGCACCTGTGAAGAGGATGGTAGTGATGGGACAAGGATTAAGGGGTACCAAATTAATGACTAAAAAGTGAGAGGGGAAATTTAGGTTAGATATTAGGAAGAAATTCTTCCCTGTGATGGTGGTGAGGCACTGAAACAGGTTCCCCAGAGAGGTTGTGGATGCCCCAACCCTGGCAGTGGCTCGAGGGCAGGCTGGATAAAGCCTTGAGCAACCTGGTCTAGTGGGAGGTGTCCCTGTCCATGGCATGGCATGGCATGTCCATGACTCTCTTAACATTTTATGATTCTGTGGTACCAGACTCTTTTCAGAGGTGCCCAGTGACAGGACGAGGAGCAACGGCTATAAAGAAAAACACCACTACCTGAGGAATAACTTTTTGACACCAAGGGTGGCAGAGCCCTGGAACAGGCTGCCCAGGGAGGTTGTGAAGTCTCCCTCTCTGGAGACATTCCAAACCCACCTGGACATGTTCCTGTGTCACCTGCTCCAGGTGGATGGACTGGATGATCTCCAGAGGTCCCTTCCAACCCCAACCATTCTGTGATTCCAGAACGAGACATTTGGTTACAAAACATGTACGAAAACAGGTTTTATTTCACAGCATCTTAATTTCACAGAAAGAACAAAAAGAACCCAAAAAACCAGAAAAACAAACTAGGCTACAACTCAGACATTTAAATAATGGAGCATGACAAAACCAGAGCAGTATTGTTTACAGGAAAATGTACAGCCTCTTATCAAGAGAGTTCTCCATGCTGAGCCACCCCAGCAGCACCTTCACACAGCAAAAGACCCCCCCGAGCGTAAACCTGTTTCTCTTCAGAGCAAGAGGAGTTTGGCTGTGAAAACGTAAACCGGCAGATCTGGGTTTTATTTTGGGTCCCACGTTGAGTTTACGAACAAAAAACGTACTAATAGTCCTTTGCCACATGGTGGCAGCTTTTAGGTGAAAAGAGAGATTCCCCACACAGGACTGCGAGCTGCACTCTAGAAATGGGAAAAACCAACACACAAACACACAGAGCTGGTGTATCTCTGCAGAAGGGCTGTTTCTGCACAGACACACAAGGTGCCTGATGTACAAGCCCCAGGCTACGGCTCTGGGCAGCATCACCCCAACCCCAGGCTCTGCCAGAGACTGGCACAGCACTCGCTGCCCTGCGTCATCTTTGGCCTGTGCTCCCAACAGCTTTTGAACTCAAGTGTGTGCCCAAGCCAAGTTTTAGAATAACTATTAAGACAACATTCAGCATTCTGTAATTTAATGCTCCTTATCCTAATTTGTTCTCCTGGAAGAAAACAAAAGCTTGCCGGTTTGTGACGTGATTCTGGGAGTGTAATTACAGCCCAGATGGCCACTTCAACTAGACAAACTTCCACTGAATAGAGACTGCAAAGTGTTGCAAACCAAAGAGCAGTTTTTTCCCCTTTGATGGTGAGAAAGGAAAGTTAATTTTGTTACGTAAAACTCTTTATACACTAAACAAAGAAGTTCTTAGAGAAAAGATATTTTCTCATTTCATTCATACTAACCAAGCTTTTCTGGAGACACCCTATGAGAAATTTCTTTGCTCAGTTGTACTTCTGTCCCCTCCACAATGCCTTGAGGAAATGTTGGACCACCTCAGCTGTCTCCACCACTGTTTGCTAATTTGGAGGCTCATTACACACTAGATGTTAAGTACATCACTATTTCTGCATGCAAGCACAGTTATATTCAGTAGAAAGTTTAACTAGTAGGCAATTTTTTAAACCTTTTAGAAGATAACTGGCAAGCTTATTGTCTAAGCTATTAGCTACCTTATGGAGACTGGAAAATCCTTCTGTGTTAGAGAAATCACAAGCATATTAAATTTTACACAAATAGTTTGAAGCTACGTACAGCTGAACACAGTTACAAAAGATTTGATAGTCACTGTAACTATTATATATGAAAAATACACTTTGAACCCTACTCAAAGAGGAAGGGGCTCCAGTAAAGTTTGCTGCAATTCTAATGAAGCCAAATTAGCTTCAGACAAAACAAGGCTGAAGAGCAAAGATTCAGCCTTGGTTTTGGCTACAACCAACATTTAATACAAGGAACAGGAATTTACATTACTTTACATGTTAGATAGCAAGCCCCTGACCTCAGCACAAGGTCTGGTGTTTCATTTAGGAGTCAAACTTAAATTACAAATTTCTCAAATAGCCAAGTATCAGTTTTGTTCCTTGCAAACGGACACAGTTACTTATAATATTGCTTCAGAAAATAAACCCAAGAGCCAATACCACAGAAGGTTCCAAGTACAATCAAGAATTCATTCCCAACCTGGATATTTAAAAAACAAACGAAGGAATAGCCAATGTTCAGAGAAGTTATTTAACCTGTGCGTACGCTCTAGAGCGCTGCTGGGCACCAGTCGGTGGCTGCTCAGATGTGCAAGAAATGCCAGTTTTATGAGGACCATCACAGTGATGCAACGCTTGGAAGAACCGAGTAAAAAAAGTAGCATTTTAAATACCGAGCATGCTTTGTTTCATTGGCTTCGTTTGGCAGCAGTAACTCTACTGACTTCATACTTGCTCAGAGCACATAAGACCATATATAATACAGTCATATTAAAAAGGTGCTTATTTCAGGCTATGGAACAGTGAAACAAATAAAAATCCTAAATGATACATTTGACAGCAAATCGCTCTTAGTCGAGCGCTCATCTTCCACTGAAGAGTGAATTAGGACGGCAATCACTTCCCAGCTACCTTGTTCAACATGTGGTACTTCATGACAGATTTTCAAACCATCTTTCCTTTTTTAAGTGAAATGTGTATTTTTAAGGTACTAACAGTAAATAAATTGGAACGGAGTAATTTCAATCTCGCTACTTATGGATCTACAGAATCATAGAACAGATGCCCTGTGTATCCTCAGTGCAGATATACTGGAATTGTGTTCCTTGTATGCAAGGCCAATGCAGGTAAAGAATAAATGGCTATACAAATTCAGGATTTCCCACTAAATAACAGAACTAACTTAAAAAGCACTGGTACCAGACCAGCCAGTTTTAGGCACATCTTTAAAAAAATAAAGTATGCATTTCATTAATGTAAAAATGCGAGAAGATTCTTAGAAATATCTGAACTTTATGGTGCACTGGAATGGAAGTGATGCTTCCCTTAGTTTCAAGGAATAGAATAAGTGCTAAAAAAAAAAAAAAGAAAAAAAGAACCAATACCATAGTATTCTTCATAGGGAAGAGCAGTTTTAGTAAAACCAAAAAGATAAATAAGGAGTAATAAGCAGCCGCGACAGCTGACTGGTGAATATTTGTGCTTTAAACGTCCAAAAGAAAACAAAAGTTCATTAACTCTTCTCGTACCATCCCCCAGGCTTGGCATCCGTGTCCACAACACACAACTCGACAGTTTGACAACACCCTGCAGCCTTCCAAACGAGCTGGAGCCGCGGCGGGACGCACACGGCGAGGCCAGTGGCACCTCCACCAGCAGCATCCAGGGATGCGATCCCTGGCACCGCCGGCTGCCGGCTGGGACGGAGCTTTGGTTAAGACTGTTGCGTGAGCCGTCTGTAATGAGGTAAAACTTGGTTTTCAGGAAGATAAAGAGCCAGTTCCAAAGCTACAAGGACGGTGAATTCGAAACCGATGAGATCCCTTCTGTTGAATCTGAATCTCTCTTCTAGTTTCTATGGCAGTAACAAAACAAAACAAAGGAGGGGGAGGAAGAAGAATCAGTTAATCCAGATGATTTTAAGGCACTGCTAAATTAAGTCGGCATAAAACAGGAGTCAGCAATGCATGGCCTGAGCTGTACCTACAGAATCAAAATGTGTTGCCAGAGATCAGCTTATCAGCTCAGCTGTGACACCCACACAACAGTTACTGCTTCTCAGGCAAACATATGCAAGTGCAAAAATAACTTTACTGTAGGATCAGTAAGACATTAGCCTGCACCACTCAGATAATTTAATGAATTAAAAAAATAAATCAAGGGCCCTAATGAGACATAAAGTTGTCTGGAAAAGCTGGTCTTAAATGCAAGCACGCGCCGCTGAAAATCTTTGCTTTAACGTTTGTCTTCACCTACGAACTAGAGAGAAGGTTCTGACAACACCTGTAAGAAGTCTGACTTACATCTATAAGGTGTTTAACTTCGTGTTTCCTGAGGTCGCTGCTGATCTTGGCTGCGAGCAGGACGCAAGCACCAGCACACAGTTTGCGGTTCTGTTTGTTGAGTTTGCCTTGGAGGACGAGCTTCTCAAAGTAAACATAAGCCATGGAGACAGTAACAGGCTCCAGATTGCACTCTTCACTCAGGTTTCTCATCTCTCTCTTCAAACTGGGAATAGGAAAAAAGATACCCCCCCCCAACATGACAGCTCTTATGAAATGCTCTAGAGATACTGCAGTATGGCAACTCAGAGGAGCATATGGGCAAGACTCCTATGTGGAAAACCATGACAAGTATTATCCTAGAGTGGAAAAGTCCAGCTGGCAGCAACCTGGTGCTGCCGCACACACTGATTTAACCTAGCTGGCAACATCCACTGTGGTAGAACAGTTTCTCATCATCTGCCCAAAAAACAGGGCTTAGCTGCCTCACTGACACACAGGCTATTGCTGTATGATTCCTTCTTGGCTCACAAAATGGTTTGTGATTCATATCATGAGACTGAACCACTCTGACCTACAGAAAACCACATCAGAGCTGTGCAGATCACAGCAGTTGCTGTGTAGAGACCTGTCTACTACATGCCTTGTGTAAGAGCCAGGTGTGAGGGTGAAGGCAGCCTGGTTTACACACTCCCCACAACAGCCAGCCCTTCACCTCAGCATTAAGGCAGACCTGGAGGCAGTGGTACCTCTCCTGGCTGCCACCCACACTACACCTGCAAGCTCTCTGTGTGAACACATTACTCCAAACAGCTACAAAGAGGAGTATGCAGGACCCTGGCTGAACACAGACTGCCCAAGCAAACCTTCAGCTGGAGCTGAGTTACACCTGGCCCTGCTGATTCAGCAGAATCATGTTTAAGCTGCTATTTCAGCAGGCCCTGACTGCATTCATCACCCTGTAACACCAGTAAGATTACAGCTCTCTGAAGGTGCAACAGTGCACCTTGCTGAGGAGTGGCCACATACATTTACTGGAAGCTGAGAAATTCTGTGTGACTTTCACAAAATGTTTTTCTTTACCAAGACTCCCCAGATTTAACACCCTTTATCCTAGAATCTTGTTAGAGGCCGTTTTTATCAGTGAGTCTGGTAATTGAAAGGCAAAAATAGCCAGAGGGCCCAGAAAGCCAATCCAGTTGGAGTGGGAGTGCACTGCAGCCAAGCAATCAGTTTACAAGTGTTTGTTTCAAAGCTAATGCTGCCTCACTGTTAATTGGATGGTAGTGTTAGTACCCCACAGTAAGTGAAACAAAACCCTTCTAGGTGGAACTGTGAAAACCAACTGCTAGCCTTTCTCAGCACCCTAAACATTCCTGTACAGGGCTGTCACTCTACAGTCAGCTCAACTGGCAACAGGAGATTAGTGTTTAATCATATATGCTATTAATAGATGGAGTATTTGCTCCATACGAGTGGAAGATAAAAGCAGCCTCGTGCAGTGTAGATGATGTTCTCATTACTCAGTGCTTATTTCTTACCTCCTGATTTTGCTCAGTGTCAACTTAATATGAGGAAACTTCTCTCTAAAGGTTTCATTCATATCCTTTTTAAGGTCTGATGGTTTCACATATTCTATGACTGTAGTCTGAAACACAAGAGGCAAAATTTATCATTTGTCTTGTGAACAGGACTGACAACTGAAGAAATCTTCCAAGGACACAAATGCAAAGGCAAACCTTAGTTTTATTATTCACAATCTAACATTTCTGAAATGTCCTAAGGTTAATAGATCATGTTGAAGCCCAACTACAGACAGTCTTAAACTAGTAAGCAAATGGTTACAAGAAGTAGATGACAACATGAAGATAGGTGCCAGGTTGGCCCTCAACAAGTTCACTGTACAAACTCAACTGTTTGTAGTTTTCCTAATCAATTATCAGAAAAGACTCAACGTCTTCTTCCAAGAGGAATTTTTCTTCCTCAAGCAAATCCTTTATAGGAGGATCTTCCAGGCACTCACTTGCTCCCCCGTTCAGGTGTGCCAGTCACTCACCATGTAAGAGGCAAAGATGAGAACACGTTTATGTTTTCCACAGGGCCACTGAGGATCATCCAGAAGATTTGGATCATACTCTGCAGCTTCCCCAGCTTCACTTCCTGAGGGAATGAGGAAAGCACACTGGGTCACAAGATATAGAGCTTTAAGTTCCCCGTTTCCTCTTTAAAAAAGTTTTCAGACAGCAAACACTAAGTGTTGACAGATCTCATAATATGGGTAAACTTCAGCTACAGTCACACATTTGCATTTGTAAATGTACCAGTCAGGTTTTAAAATGATTAAAAAATGGCCAAACAAGCTCTTTCTCAACCATGTGCCTGATGCACCATTTCAGACTTAGTGCAAACTGAGTTTACCACCTACAAATATACCCAGTAAACAACAGCACAAGACTGAATTCTTTTGCCTATATCTAACAGACAGCAGAGTTGTTGGGTTTGCTCTTTTACATGAGAAAAGGGATTCTTGGCACAAACTCTTTGGCTTATGTGTTGTTCCTGTGCTAGAAGGCAAGGAGAACCACCTGGATCCACGTACACCAGATGTTTCTTAGTGAGTAATATAAAACTTTACATTTCCAAGGAAAAGCTTTGTGCTCCTTGAATGGCATAATCAGAACTAGGCCAGATATATGGAGGATGTAAGGAACATGTGGAAGTCTCACTCCTAAGGCTCATCATTTAGACTTCACTAATGAGCCTTCTTTACTAGGCTCTGCTAAAGCCAGTCTCCTTCCAGCTGCAGCAAATCCATCCCAATGACCGCTTGCAATTGTCTCAGACAAATCTGTGCCTTTTCTGCTGTGTGCACAAGAGATGACAGAGCTGGTGCCTGCCCTTACCAATGTCTGTCCCTGCTGGTATTGTTTTTGCTGTCACAGGTTTGTATCTTGATCCAGGAAGACTCCGTGGAGCACTGGCTCGACTCGAGGGAACAGCACCGTAGCCGTCGGCTTTGCGAACAACCAGAGCATTGGTGGGGTACAAGAATTTTGCATAGGACACAACCTGAAAGAAGAGAACGTTGTAGGAGTTATGGGGGGAAGTTGACTGAAAAGCCTATTTCCAGACAGCTAGGATTTTCCAACTCAGAGGGCCCCTGGAGTTTGTACTTGGGAGTTGGGACCTTGAAACTGTGGGACAGGAAGAAAGGGAAAAGTTGGATGAGGTATGCCTTGTTTCCACAACTTCAGAATGGAAGTGTTTTAGGAGATTTGGTGGTGTGGCAAAGGGGAGAATCACAGCAGTAAAATTCTGGTGGAATATAAATTTCACTAAAGGGGTCTAAATTTCACCCATATTTCTATCAAAACATCACTCACATGTTGCCCAAGATAGCAAAGTCAAATCAGGTCTCCAGAAACAGAGGCAGAAGTGATCACAAGCTTCAACAGCCTCTTCAGAAGAAACATTATCACAGGCCAGAATTTCAAACTAAGGATCTAAAACTTCCACTGGTGTGAAAAGCCATAGCTTTCACTTTATGTATAGCAATGCACTGCATAAATTAAGTGTTTTGTCCCAGTATGAAATGGTTCCAGGGTGAAAAAATGAGTGCCCTTACCTTGCCATCAGCACCCAGCTCTACTCCTTCCAGTCCAAGCACCATCTCAGTGGAGACTGAAACTCCCCCAGAAGGATGTCGCTGCTTCTGTCCTTCCATTTTCAGATCACTAAATGCAGGTAAGAAAGGGCACTATTACAAAATGCAGTACAAGCCCAGTTTCCTCTGTGGCAAACCCCAGTTCCATTCCCTAGATATAGCCAACAATCAGGTCAGAGTTCTCTTGCGTGGGAACAGGGCAACCCCTCAGTCCCACCTCAGAGAAAGCATGAATTTTTAACTACTCTTTTCAAAACTTGGGGTTGTTAATCTCATTTTAATGCAAATCTGTACCAATACACCTACTAACGCTTAACTTTCTGATATGGTCTTTCTGCACAAGACCACACCATTCCTAACACACTAATGCTCAAACACCTCACAGCAAATAGGACGTACATTAATAGCTTTCCAGGACTAGAAACTTGCCTTTCAAGTGCAATTTCCCAACCCCTGTGCACACAAACTCAAATTCAGAATAAAGGCTGCAGAACTTTGTGTCAGCGATGGCAACATGGAGCTTCGTCACCGATATTCCAATCCAAAAAACCAGCTTTCAGTTGAAGAACTGCCTTACCAGCTTAGAAGCAGAGCAGCCCAGTGCTCAGAACTGCTCTGAAATAGCTCCAGTGACCTTGCTGCCTTTCTATTATGTGAGGGAATATTTTCCCATCAACTATTTTTATGGCAATGTATTTGCATACAATACAATTCCCACCACTAAGCATCCGTTTCCTTTGTCCATAAGTTACGTACAGGACAGAAGTGACAACACAATTGTTTTGCCAGAATTGGATCAGAATAGAATTAGTATTTTCTATGGTACATTTGTGGATCACAGACCTTTACAGAATCAACTTAAACTTCACAAGGGACTGAGGAGAGATGCAGGGAAATCCAGTTTGCAGATTTTGTTTCTCGTAAGTGATCAGACTGACAGTTGTATATAAAAATGTAGTCCAAACACTAAAAGCTGTTCAAATCAGTCTAAACTGTTTCTGCTTTTCTCAGATTGCAAATAGTGACATTCATGGCTTAGAGCTGAGAAACAGAAGAGCATCTTAAACTTATTTAGGTGTAAATTCACTATAAACCCCTCAGGGTTTCCATGGAAGGCAGCAGCATCCTTCCCTGATGCTCCTTGTGCGTTTTTGCTCATACCATTGTTTGTGACACTAAAGACAGCTGACACTTTAGGAGTACAGAAAATCCTACACAGCAACCAATCACACCATCTATTCAAAGCTGATTTCAGAGATTTTACAGGGCTGGAGTGCTTTAAAATGTCAGTAAACACTGGAAGAACAGTCTACCTTTTCCACTATTTTTCTTTGGAAGTTTGAATGGACACTTTGACACTGTGGCAATATCTGGTTTTACAGCTCTGACAGCAAGTCCTTGTCCTTACCCATGAATGGTAAGTTAATTAACTTCACCTGCTTCAAAACAGGAGACCTACAGCAACGTTACTCATTTCAAAAGATCTCTTGAAACAGCAGACCAGACATTTCACAAAGCAGTTCAAGAGACTCACCTGATCCGTAAACCCTCCCCGTAAGGTAGGATAGAAAAAGCCACGCACAGTGTTCGTTTCGCACAGATTAACACTATCCTGTAAGCAGATGGGAAAAGATCAGGACATGAATTAAGATCCAGAAGCCACAGAGCAGCTTTTTATGCAATATGAACACAAGACTCTTCTTGTCTTGCTCTGCAAGTCACATAGATCTTGCTATGTATGTTATGTTTTCAGAAAGCAGCAGAAGAGCAGAGGTTTCATGCTGACCCTGCAGGTCCTTGGGGTTAAGCTCTATATAAAACTCCAGCCTTCACTAAGTGCCATCACCTTGGGAACTCCTCAAAGGAGAGTCTTTAAATATATATCTATATTTACGTAATTTTTATATAAACCTTGTGGAAAGAAGTAGATAATATTTTACATTTAGATGAAACCTCACACTTCTATTAATAATAAACATGAACACAGCCACCCCTTTCTCTCCTGCTCAGCAACTGAGCCAAGAATTCAGCTAAACCAAGTCATTCTCCTTAAATCCTCCTCAGCTCTGACCTCTCTGTGTGTGAGAGATAAGGAAGGTGTTAAGAGAGAAAGATATAACCTCCTCCAAGTAGGATGGCAGAATCATCAGTGTATTGCTGCAAATGTAGCAGCTATGAGCACCTAATGCCTTTGATAGAAGTCTGTATAAAACTAACAAGGCCCCAAGGACATCCCCTTATTTCCACTGATATTAAATATCCAGCTCCATGGAACTGGATTCTGCATCTGGGCACATCCTACTGCACCTGAGCACAGGGGGAACCTTGATCTCCACAAGTTACCTGCTGTTTTTGGTGTCATACTGCCTCATGTTCTTGATGAAGTGCATCTTCTTCAAACTTTTGTGTCTTGGAGATCCAGATATATGCTTGGTTCTGCAACAACAAAAAGAAAAACAAAAAGAAAACCCCCAAATCTGTTAAGTGCTCTGAAAAAAAGAGTCATGCCAGTTGTATGATCAGATGGCAGCACTAGCATGCAGGACCTCAGATATTGGCGTGGAAGAGGGTGGAGGGAGGAGAGGACTGCATGCAACGAGTTGAGATTAATGCTGCTTTTGAAAAAAGTACCTTCGTACACTGGCATATTCCACTATGTCTTCTAAAAAGTCTAGAGAGCAGCGCTGGGAGATAAAACGCCTTCTGTAAAATGTACAACACCACGAAGAGTGAACAATATTAGTTCATGGCCTCTGAGTTTATGAACTGCAACAGATCTACGAGCTCTTAGGACAAATGGCAGGTTTTCTGGAATTTTTTGTTGTTGTTGTTGTTGCAAGAGTGCTTAACTAAGAGTTTGAAGTTCCTAAAAAGGCCAAGAACTTGTCTCCCCCTCTAGGACCCTTGAAATACGTATTTACACCAACTTCATTAATAAGAGCATTCACTGCTGTCCACAAAGAACACCACCTACCACTACATTAAACATCAGAAAGCTTCCAAACACCGATTTAAAATCTGACAAGAAATGTTGCAAAAAGCTCCCCCCATCAAAGCAAGGGAACAAGTAATTTTTTATTAATTTATGTTCAGATATAGGTATATCTGTATGATGACCAGACATCTGTGTGTATTCTCAATTCAGAACCCTTGTCTCCAGCTGCAGGAGTCAGCAGACTGAGAGCCTAGAGCTGCAGCTCAATAAAACCAACAGATCTCTCCGGAAAACAATAGAGAGGGTTATTAGAGGAAGCAAAAAGTATTTGGCACACATCTGAAGTCCCAGAATGGAAGATGCAAGAATAATAGTAGGAATCATGTGAGTTAGTGCAACAGTAATAGGATATTACGTTTAAGCAAAAAAATAGACTTTGCCAAAGTAAGATACATTACTTTTGTCCAAGTGAAGTCCTTCTTTGTTAGTAGAGATTTACAAATGAATTGTGCAACTGTGACTGCAATTTCCATAGAACAATGCACTCGGATTAAACTGCCACCAGCAAAATGCTGACACCACAACTGAGAATCCATATTTTCTACTTTTTTTTTAAGCATACATTGTGCTACACTTTTAGCACAAGCCATGTCTGTTAAAATCCAAAGTTTTCTTCCCAAATGACGCAGTAACTCAACTAACAGTAACTCAACTGCCATGAAGGTCAGTGTAGAAGCAGCACATGAGACAGAAGTTGCAGGACTCTGGTTTGACGAAATCTACTTATGACAAAAAAATAAAAATCAAACTTTAAACCGCATCAGAGCAGACTCTTAGCTGTTCAGGCATTCTTAAAAGAAAGAAAAGCCCATGACTCAAACAGGTAGGAGGATGAAAAATTAGTGTCCATTTCTGTAAACACAGGAGAGGTAAATTCTCCCACAGGACTAACACCTTCAGTATTGCTAGAAACAGCCTCCTACGATCAACAGCCATTAAGGTGCTGCTGGAGAACGTTCCTGGCACAGCTTCAACACCCTTCACCAGCACTTCAGTTTTAAAATTATTATTGTTCTTTTGCTTTTCAACAAGAACAGCACAGGAGCATTTAATGCTTTCACAAACATATGGTTCTCTAGTCTGTGTTGCCATCTAAAATGCAATAAAAAACCCTTCACAAAATGAGGAGGTGATCACAAACCTCCTGGCACAAAGGCAGCCGGTTACATCCACAGATTTCCTCCCCTCCCAGGGGAGACCTGGCTGGATGGAGAGAGAAGGACGCCATGTATGGCAAGCAAAGGGAAAACACAGCCAATGCCAACAGGCACTGGTACAAAAAAAGCATGTAGTTCTGTAAAAGGATGCTGCTGAAACAGGATGGATTGGGAGAGCCACAGCTAGAGCCTCACTAACTCCACAGTGCTGCAGATGCAACCACCCCCAGTGTCAGCACAGGATTTCCACGGTGGAGACCCATCCGGGGTGTTACACTTCTGAACACCGCCCTGTTTTCTCAGTAACAGGGGCAAGAGTGACAAACACCTGAGCCTGCTGCTCCGAGAGCATATCTGGAAGTAAAACCCTGATGCAGCAAAGGGAAGATCCCACCCCTTGACTCAGAACCACAATGACTCATCCCCACTCTGCCAACAGGAAACTTCATTTTTAGCTACACTTGTAAATAATTTCTGTCCTCAGCGAAGCTGTCACCTTGAAGGAGTCCCTGATGCTAAGCACGACATTCTCCCTCAAACCTCAAAATGGAGTGTACATACAGACCTTTCACTAATCCAGAGAACCTGAAATAGTTTCTATGCTCAATCCAACATTTTACAGCAACACAGCACCCTCACCGCAGTCTGAGACTCGCTAGCGCAGTACTTGGAACATGCAGCAAAATTTAACACTTTTTGAGTAGTCTTATACACACACACACACACACATATCTGCTTTAGTTTGAGTGTTCTTCTCATGCAACCAACTCACACTTGAACAACAAGCTGCACAGGATGGCTCCAGTGACTGCCAGCTTCGACACAAAAATGTTGAGTCACCTATCCCATGCTCAGCAGCTTCATCTGGGATAACACTTCTTGCTTATGGCCTGATCCACTGGAATTCAAAGGATTTTAAGTACTTTACACAGTGTGTCTGTTGCTAAATGCAACCTAAATACTAAGAATACCAACATCTCTACATATGCTGTGAGTTACCTTACACACACCCTTACCCATGTGCGACCTGACAATTAGAAATTGAAGTATCTGATACTAAAATGTTTATGGGTTCCATGAAGCAGGCTGTAATTCCAACAGCACCCTAAAGAAAGTTCAAACGTGCCTGTTTGCCAGTACCAGCTGTTGCCCTGACAAGCCACACAGGGTTTGGTTGGTTGTACGTCCTTGGCCAGGAGTCACTTTCGGTTGCTTCCCTTTGTTTCAGGAGCCAGTAAAGGCCAAAGCAGGACCCTCCTAGATCATTAAAAACAGCAACTGTGTTTACACAGCCAGCACCTGGAGGGGACCCACCAAGAGAGAAAACACACACACAGCACATGCCCAGAGATAAGGGGCTATCAAGCAGAGGAATTCTGGATTATGCCTTGGCTTGTTATCTCCATGTGCACATGGGGACTCACACAATCCAACACTGCTGCCAAGTCCTGTACGAGCTAAACACGCACTTTAAAAAAGCCCACAAAACCCCCTTATGTTCAGAGAAACCACAACAAATTATGTTCAGAGCTACATTTTGACTCCTGCCCTGGGAAGCAGTGGGCAGCCCACACATTTATCCTTTCTGATGGATCTCCCACCGAGGAAACCCAACTTTTGAGTGGTTTCAGCTTCGAAGTTGTCCTCTTCTGGTCCTGCCCACCAAGCACTGGCAGAGAAACTCTCTGCAGAGGGTGAACACTGGACAAGCAGCACGTGGGATCTCCAGCCCCAAGGTTGACACAGCTCTTAAGTGCTCCCAGGAGAACAGGACACAGCTAAGAGCAATCTATGTATAGCACTGGTAATCCCTACACTTCCCCTCTTGTAAATTGAAAGGAAAAAGCTGGTTAAGTCACAGCTCCAGATTAAAAAGCACTGACCTTTGGATGGCTTGCAAAGAGTATTTTCCAACTTCCCACCTACACTGGGCTACCTGCAGACACCCAAGAGGACAAGGATAAAGTTTGGGGATGTTGCTGTAGTTGGAAGCCCAAGTTTCTAATTCTTTAGCAGGTTATTATAGTTGAATGTAAGAGATGCTAATCCTGTGCTATCACATGTGGTTTCAGGCTCAGACAAGCCTCCCCCATTCCTGCTTCTGGGCCATTGTGTCCTCTAAGGGACAGCGGGGCAGCCTTTTGGGCACCCAAGACCCTGCTCAGCACTCTCAGGTTCTGCAACAAACAGCCCTCAAAAACTCATTTTAACCCCTTAATGTTGGGCCTTAACCCCTAATACTGGACCTTACAGCGACCAGTGATCTTTCTTAAACCTGTGTGCAGCTGCCACTTGGCCATTTTGAAGCTCCTTTGCCTTTTGCCCTTCTGATTCCTGCATTTGTGCCACAGCAGGTGAACAGACCAGGTGGCCTCGCTCCCTCCTGAGGGGTGAAACTGGAAGTTTCTAAAACCTTACTGGGATTCTCCCCCCATCCTGATTAACCCCCAGCCCTCTGAGGGACAGGTTTGCACCCTGAGCCCACCACACAGACGGAGTTCAATCCATGTTCAGCTGCACCCTGAGTTCACCTCCTGCCACAACTTCTCACCCTCATCACTTCCAGCATCACCAAGCCCTGTGACAAAACCATTCAAAGATGCTGCAAGAGCTGGACAGTGACATGACCTGCTCCAAAGGGCCCTGCAGGGTGGATTTGTTTCAGATGGAGCTGCATCCCTCCCCCTGCTGATGCTGCTTATTGTACCCACGCAGGCACACACCCCAGGCACTGGACTAAAATTAGCAGCAAGGCTGATATCCTCTGTTGCTCTTTAGCCATCCCTACTGCTAATAGATGGCTGGCATGGGGGAGGTCAAGGATTTTTAATTACTGTGTAAAATTAGGGCCTAATAGAATTTGGTTTCCTATTTCTCACTCGAGTTTTATTTTAATGAGATGTCCCTTTGTAAGGTCCTTTACAGGCTTCAGTACAATCACAGCTGTCAAGGGGCTGAGTTATGAATATAACAAGGACAAAAAAAATTTATTGGTTTTTGGAAGCACTAGCTTAGTAACAACTGTCAAAGGTAATTTGCACAAGAAATCCAGATCCCAAATCCTGTTTACAATAGGAAGACATACCTGTCAGATTTGTTTTTCCAAGACATACTTTAAAGATTAAGCTGTATTGTTTTCATTCCTTACAGGCAAGCCAGCAAACAGATATGAACTGTGCTTGGGTTTCACTAGGTAAAACACAGGCATCAAGGGATTGAGAAAATTAGTCCCAGTTTTTAAGCTTACTTTTTAGCAAGAGCCATTTCTTATGCTGCCCAGGAGACATTTAATGTTTCCAGGCTTGCATCCCAGAGTGTGGGAGTGGGAGCATCCCTGTTCTGCTATCAGTGCCCTTGCCTCTCCACCCTCGGTGCTCACATTAATGAGATTCCTGCTAAAAAGCAGATTGAGTACAGCTCACCGATAGCAACAAGTTCTCAGTAATTAAAGCCAAAACAAAGTCAGTCATTTACACTGAATCACATCAAAACCATGTCTTTGTTAAACAAATGACTTCACAAGGAATCTGTACCATGAAGTGCCCAGCACC